TAGCTTCTAATCATATAAACCAGCTGAGTGTCATCTCTCCAGCCACCGAACTCAGTCCACTTTCTGTAAAGACAGAACTTGCAGGGTAGGGTGGGTAGGAGGGGAAGGAGAAGAGGAAAAATTACCCTCCTGCTCTGACCACGACAGCTCAGTGTTAAGCACTGCCCTCTGTGTGAGGATCACCCAAGGGGAACAGGACACCTAGGGCAAAGTTGGGGAGCACAGTGTCGGCAGCCACCCACTGAGAATCCAAAGCTTGTTGGCAAGAGCTGACTGGAAATCGGCAGAGCAGAGAAGGAACTGTAAATAACCTCTGTGAACCTGACTTGCAAGATCAGATCAAAACAGCAGGATGGAGAGCCTAGCATTATTATTATCCTTACAAAAAGAAAAAAGGCATTAGTGAGTGGCCAGAAGAATAAGTCTTCTTCCAATTATTTCCACAGGCAGGAGAGTCAGTTTTCTAATTAAAAACCACTATGCACAGAACCAAATATTTGAGTCAGCAGAGAAGTCACCTAATTGTTACACTGCTTTCCCTTTGAGCCATTTGTCCCATTTGGCTAGCTCTCTCCTTTTACCCCAACCAAACCCCAGATGAAGACCAACCTTGGCCCAGATAAATATCCTTCATCAAATCTGCTGATATTTCCAGCTGAAATCCCCAATGCATTTCACTACCCCTTCTGGTCAAAGGTCTGGGCACTCTACTGCCAAGGAGTAGAATCAACCAGGACCAAGAAAGAGATCCTACAGAATTCCTCCTACTTGCTAACCCCAAAACAAATGAATGAAACAGGACTCAAGAGAAGATGAACTAGAGGGTGAGGCTAAGGGTGGGAGCACTAAGGAAGGTGACAGGAAGAAAGGCTGAACACTGGAATGAGTGAAGCAGTTAGAAAGTTCCAGGGAGTTACGAGCACTGACCTTAGGATTCCCAGGTGTGACACAGACACACAACAGCCAGAGCAGCAGCTCCCTGAAGCCTCCCTCTGCCCTGCCAGCCCCAGCAAACACAAACACATTCTTCTTGGACTGATACCCATTCCACACAGCGCTCTATGGGGCCTGTTTATTTAAGAAGCCAGATGCTTTGATGTTGGAGTACAAGTTGGGAAATAATGTGTAAAGAAGTAGTGACAGGAGCAGAGAGGGGACAGAAAATAAGCAACAGTTCCTGGCTTTATTAATCATAAGTTTTAAAAGTCACAAGGACATGGTCAAATGCTCTGAACGGAGGAATGAGAGGTAAGGAAATCATGTCAGCCACCAGTGTAACTCCAGACAAGGCATTTCATCTGTTTCTTGAAGACAAGAGTTTCATGCCTAACCTCAAAGGAGTGCTTACAGGAATAATGTTTTGAAGCAATCCAACTTAGCAACCAATATTAATCAACTCTTCCATGCTCGCTCAATTTCTCTCATGTACAAAGGTTTATATGGCATGAACACTCCAAACACTTAAAGGAAAAAATCAGCTAAAAGTGTGGCATGACAACAGTTTGGGGTTAAAGGCAAAAGGCAAGTTATTTATCAAGTGTAAGACAAGAGCTTTTATAAATACACACGCACACTTGTTGGATTTCATGAGTGAAGAAGCCTGAGTTATATAGATCACTAGGGCACAGGTCTCCTAAAACCAGAAGAATAAAAAAGCATCAGCACACTTTAGTTCTATTTCTGCCTTCTTAAAAAGCTTAATTAAACACCAATATATTTGAACAAGCCAAAAAAGCCACAGAAACAGGTCCAAGAGACTTGCTAAAACCTTCTGAGGCTTTTCATTCTCTAGCCCAAGTATCTTTTCTTTGGGTCTTGCCACCCCAGCATCTAATGTGTCTTGACCCTCTGGAGGGTAGTCACATCCATTGAATTAATGGGGCTTGACATGAACAACAAGTTATAACAAGTAAGAAGAGAACCAAGAACTTCTCATTTTTCTTGGGAAGTGAATTCTGTCATCTTGAAAAACAACTCTTGACACTTTCCCAGCAGTATGAAACTATTCAACATCTCTAATAAAAAGTGGTTCTGACATGCTGATATTTTTACTTTATTCTGTTTATAAAGGGCCTTAAAATACTACATCTCTCCAGTACAGTTCAGGGTGATTATTATGACTGTTACAAGTACGGAATTGAAAAGCGGAACAGACTACGACATGACAACTCCTGGTGAAGGAGGTGCAACTCTAGGAACCGCTTCGCTTGCCCACTGCAAGGTGGAGATTATTCATAGCGGCTCCGCTTTTACCACATATGCATGTTTGTTGTGGATCCTTCTGTCTGGTTTCGGGAATTGTAACTCTACCTCCTGTGGCTAAGGATGAGCACCGCAGGAGACAAAGCTTGTCTCTGGTAGCAAATCCTGCCTCAGTTTCCTCCCTGCCCCCAAAGCATGGTCGGATGGTCAGAGAGATGGTCAGAGGGAGGTGAGATCCCTCAGAAGAGGGGCAACCTAGGCCAGATATGATCACTTAGGAGGCCTTCATGGAAGGACTCGGGGGCCTGCAACAAAGAGCAATGGACTCTCACCACTCCCCCCCTGCTTTGAGATAGCCCGAGTCCCCACGTCCTCTGGGAGAAGCTGCCTGGCTCTAATCCCCTTAAGCCTGAATACCTGATGGGGAGGGGTGTGGTTCCTTGCCTTGCTAGACTGTGTTCTAGGGAGAAATCTGGCATCACAAAGACTTCCTGATAAACCTGTGAAATCTGCTCTGCTAAGAGTGCTTTCATTCATATGTTAAGGGTTCAAGCAGGAAACCCTACAACTCTCTTCCTGACAGACTGACTCAGACTAAGCCCTCAGATTTCTTTGAAATGTTATCTACTGTTTGATTCTTGCCGCCTGTATTCCTGTGTATTACAACCCAATAAAAGCACTCGGAGGAAGGGGCTCAACGCCTTTTTCCCCCTGAGAAACTGGCCACTGCTCAAGGCCTTTTTCCTCTGGGAAACTGGCCACCTCTCCTTCCTAAGCAGATCATGTCTCAGTCATGTTTACTCTCATCCGTGGCACACAGGGGGACTTGTGAGGAAAGTCGCCCCCACATCTGGCACCATAACAGGGACCTGAACAGATTCGGGACCTCCTTCCATCCAGAGGCTACGAGCCATTGCCACGGACGCACGCCTAAGAGAGACAGAAATCAACGCTTCATCCCGGAGGGATCAGGGGTATCTGTGGGTAAGGCCCCCAGGCGTGTTAGAAATAGGTGAAAAGTTACTTTTTCAGTCATGCTTACTCTCATCCGTGGCACACGGGGGGGCTTTCGAGGAAAGTTGCCCCCACACACATTCCAATAAGGATGGGATACTGAATGAGAGACTGTGATTGATTAACGAATGCAAAAGTAGCAATTTAAAATTAGGTCACTGGAAGGAGATTTAAAAAAAAAAAGCTGAAGAAAATCACTGGATAGAGTAGTGAAATAAAATGAAAGAAACAGGAAGTTTCTTTATATGACAGAGTTCAAAGAATAAGGTTTCGGATCTGCTCTTGATTTGGCCTAAGAACCCCCCAAGCCAGTTTTATCAACCTTTTGCTAGAGAAATCATGGTATTACCAATAACAGCAATTCAGACTAACCAGAGAGGACTTGGAGTAAAGGAATGAATCCAAAAATAGCAGCAGATCCTGTAGACCAGGAAGAGAAGAATCTCACATATGGGATAAGAATGCTGTGTCCAGCTGGCTCAAGGAAGGAAGTGGTCCCATCATAAAGTACACATCTGTGTTGTAAAAGGCTTTTGCAACTCCACTGCAAGGTGGAGCTCTACATGATTTGTCCCCCCTCATCAAACAGGTAGACTTCCCAGTATTCATTCTATCCCATATGCACCCAACCTGCCCCACCTGTCAGCACTAGCTTGGCCACCTTTCTGCAGCTGCTGCTTGGATTGCATTAATCTGACTTATCCTTGACTGCTTCCACTTTCACTGAAACGCCCTAGGTCCCCGGTCTGAGAACTTTGCAGAGGTAACAAGAGTAGTCCAGGCAAAGGGAGAAGGTTCAAGGGGAAACTGAGATTCAGCGGATATGAATGTGGCTGTACAAAGACAAATACAGTTAACCACTCATCTCTGACCTCATGTGCGCCTCTATGCAAGAGAAAGGGATATGACAGAGAAAATACATCAAATAGAAAATACCTTATGCAAATGTGGGTAGCAACAATTAACTTGTTATTTCTAGGGAAAAAAATGAGGAAGATGCCCAAGTTGCAGCGGAACAAGCAGCCAGGACATTCTAACAATTGGCTTCGTCAATCCAGTGGGGCACAAGGGTTGAGCTGCTTGTCTCTCTGGGTAGAGAACTGCCTCAATTGCAAAAGTTTTTCACCAGGACCTAGCTCAACGCAGAAGTCTGCAGCGTTTTTCTTAGGGCTGGAAACCTTGTTACAAGGCATAAACTTCCTGGTCAGAGTCCAATGCCACCACAAAAGGTCAAATTGAAGCGAGAGACACATACACTGTTTTAAAGAGAGATGACATATATACTGTCATCCCCTCTCCAGGCTTGTTCTTTTACCTATGCAAACAAACTCAGTAACCTAACAATTGCTGTCAGATTTCTGAACACCCCCTGCCCTCCTTGAAAGTACTGACCCAGAGGACACACCTTGGCTTCTGCGCAACCCAACTTCTGCAAGCACTTCGGAGGTCACTATTCCTCCACCATCCCGGGGAGGCACAGCACTACTGGGTCCTGATTATTTATACGGACGGAAAACGACACTCAGGAGATTTTGACAACTCGAAAAAAAAGAATGCCGTGAAAGGCTCAACCAGCCTCTCCTGTGACGAAACACAGCCGCGCGAGCCTCGGCGTCCCGGGGCCCCTCCCGGGCGGGACCCCACCCGCCCGTCCGCCGCAGCTTGCGGGCGGCGGCCCGGGGGTGCGAGCGGCGAGTGGCTTGGGTCCCCTCCGCAGAAACACCAGGCGCGGGTGGGGCGGCACCTCCCATTCCCGGTGTCGCTCAGGCCTGGCGCCCGCTCACCTGGTGCGTGTTGTTGACCAGCCTTGCGACAAAGTCCGGTATCCGGCCGCAGTCTTCGTCCTCGCCAGGCGCGCTACGGCGCCAACGGCCGCGGAGAAAAGGGCCCCCGGGCGCGGCTGCGCGCAGCCCCCAGCTCACCCCGATGGGGCCGGCCCAGCGCGACAGCGGCGCAGCGGGCGGCGGCGGTGCGTCCAGCCAGTCCTGGCAGAGCGCGGCCCGCGGCAGCAGCAGGAGAACGAAGAGGAGGAGGAGGCCGAGGCCGTGGGGCCAGCGCGAGACACAGTACACAGCTGCTCTGGGACGCTCCATCGCCACCGAATGCCGACGCCGCCGACACCTGCCGCCCGGCGCCCGCCCACCCCCGCCGGCGCCGCGCCACACCCCCAGCCCGAACGGCGCTCCTTGGACACGCGCAGCCGGGCCTCTCCGCCCCATAGGCCAGCTGCTTGTCCTTCTTCCCCGGCGCGCTCCTCATTGGCTCGCGTCGCTTCTGGCTTCGGGGGTCCTGTATTCGGTTGCCAAGATGCGGGACTGATTGGCTGGAACGTGGTAAAGACCGCTGAGGTCATCCCCGCCTCGCTCGCGTCTCTGGGGCCGGACTTCCAGAGTTGGTAGGACCGTCACCGCTACCCGCGAAGCTCGCAACTCAGTGGTGCTGGACCCCTCGCGGCTCCCTCGGGCACCTTCGAGTTGGGCTGGGTTAGTCGCCTCCTCTCCCCCGGAGACACCCCCAAAATTCTTTGGGTTGTGGCAGCTCCAGGAAAATCTCCCCAGGGAATCCCTGAGCTAGCTCATCTGGAAAATGGGGCTTGGTCATGAACCGGTGCTTCAGGTTTTAAGCCCCGCGCACTGGGGCGTCCATTGTCTACTGAAACAGACGCCTTGCTGCCAAGAAGGTGAATGCGAATTGTGTGGGCTAAAGCCTACGGAGAAGATAGAATCTGGGCGTTCATGAGTCATGCGAGCTTCAAGTTCCTCCACCACGTACGGCCTCACTCACCTTCCTCTTCTGCAAGGAGTTAGGCGAAAGGTGGGATTGTTTATTGGTTTTCCTGGAGGTAGAAAGTAGTTTAGACAATAGGGGCAGGTCAAAGTGGACCCAGACGATTGCCCAATGCCTACTTCAGACGATCATTTCAGATGCGTATTATCTCTGCCAAAGTGCCTGAACCCCGCAGTGTTCATTTGCATAAGGTTGGTTTTTCAGTGTATGTCTCCTAAATTAGCACCCCGCCCACAAAAACGTAAAACAAAACCCTACGCTGTTCCCTGTACCGCAGAAACTTCACCCATAACTTCTAGAACATGCAGCCCAGGTAAAAACCAGTTCCGGATCTTAACCTTAATTGATTCTGCCCCTTCAGAATGCTAGTTGTTTAGTCCAAAAGGCAGCAAATACAAAGAAGCAAAGTATGCAAAACGTTACCCCCAGATAAGGAAAGTTACTAACAATTACTTTTAACTGTAAACTGGAGGTAAACCCACATGAAAATCTATTCACCGTAGAGCAAAATGGTGCACTGCACCCAACCCAGCGTTTACAGCAAAATCCTAGTCACGCTAATTTGCAAACAAAATGACTTACAAATTTACACTATCCCCCAGAACAACAATAGTAAGATGAGAGAAATGAAAAACATTTTTGAGTGGCATCTGAGTAGGATGAGAAAATCCCTTTATCTTCCAGGTTCTCGGTTGCTGAAATAACAAGGTAAATCTTGAAAGCTGGCGAACAATGTGTTCCTTTCCATCAATGACCATGTGTCAGATTATTTTAAAAATACAGATTATTTTTTAATCTATGCCAACTATAGAGTGGGTCACAAGACAGTCAGTTCCAGTAGCATGTGATTAGCTGGGGGGAGAGGAGGGGCTATACAGGAATATTTCTTTGTTTAGTGACACAAAGATGAAAGGTCTATTGTCTTACTGCCTGAAGATTACAAAAACAACTCAACAGTGCCATCTCCTGGAGAAACTACTAAATACACTTACACTTTTTAAGTCAGTATTACAACTGTTGAAATTATCAGTATGGTTCACTTTAGTTTTACAGAATGCATTGTTCCTCCCTCAAACGTTATCAGATGCTGGGGATGTGGTACCTTATATGGCACCAAGAAAATGACTGTTTCAGCCTAATGAGAGGCAGGCACTAAATACAAAAGTGATACTGTCAGGATCTCCTTTGTGAAACACTGCACATAAAATCTTATCTGACTTGTAGGACTAAAATTCATAAACCTGTCTTATTACTGAAGGCCATTATTTTCCCCCAAACTTTGTAGCAGAAAGATGAATAGAAAGCAGTCACATATCACAAAACCATTTCTTTTTCCTAGTAAGATCATTTCTCCGGTTCTTTCAAAATTGGACCCAAGAAACCTTGTAGAAAATTTTAAAATTCTACAAAAAAAGAGAGAAAACCACCAAAGTTCTCTTTCAAGAATGCTGTAATTTTATTCTTTCAAGAATTCTGAACTTACAATTGTACAAGGTATATCAAGTTTACTGTTTCGGCAGATGTCTGAGGCACAAATGCACCGTTCAGGCAGTGCGAGATGAGGCTATTCCTAATGGTTTTTCCTAACGTGATCCAGAGACAGCTCTCTCCTCTCTCTAAAGCAGCATGTTTTGTCCATGTCCATGTTAACCTACTCTGAGTTAAAGGGACTAGTATTCATTGCCTTATTTCTATGCTCTGGAAGCTTCATGGGCGCACAGACCAGATCTAGTATTTTCACAGTTCTGCCCCCAATGCCTAATGCATCACATGGCATACGATCAACCTGTTAAATTTGAATAAATGGAAGTTGAGACAGGATTTTTCAAAGGCATTTTCTAGTAAGATTTGGTAAAAGGTGAACATGAGAGAAACTAATCTGATGATCATCATTTTATATTTAATAACAGGGTTAAATCATTAAAAGTCTCCTGAACATTGGTGACAATATACTCTAGCTCCCTTACTTTCCTTACATGTATGTCTAGGGAAAATTCATTCCTTCCAAATATTTTGTCATAAGTTTCCAAATGTATATAAACACAAGTTGTTTTTTGCTGGAAATACAGTATGAGTTTAATAGTGCAAGTTCATTTCAAATCTCAATGTGAATTCCCTTTTTCTGAGTAGGTATCTAGGCTGCAAGGCACCTGGTGTTGTAAAATCAAGAGCTGACGATTTAAAACCAGAAAATCTGAGTTCAGTTCCCAACAGCTTCACTTTCTGTCCACAGTCACACAGCTTTGGATTCTTCATCTGTGAAGTATAACAATATCTACTTCATATGGCCATTTTCGGCTCCAATAAATTGCTTCTTTAAATCTTTTTTTTTATTAAATTTTATTTTTTTATTGATTATGCCATTACAGTTGTTCTATTCCCCCCTTCATTCCCCTCCACCCTAACCCCCCCATCCCCACCTTTACCCCCCTTTAGTTTATGACCACGTGCCTCAAGTTCTTTAGATTCTATATTTCCCATACTATTCTTGCCCCTCCATCTATTTTCTATCTACCATCTATGCTTATTTTCTGTACCTTCTCCCCCCTTCTCCTCCTCCCACTCCCCTGTTGCTAACCCTCCTTGAGATCTTCATTTCTATGTTTCCACTCCTGATCTAGCTGTCCTTTTAGTTGCTTTTGTTTTAGGTGTGGTTGTTAATAACTGTGAGTTTGTTGTCCTTTCACTGTTCATTTTTTAACTTCTTTTTCTTAGATAAGTCCCTTTAGCATTTCATATAATAAGGGCTTGGTGATGATGAACTCCTTGAATTTGATCTTATCTGAGAAGCACTTTATCTGTCCTTCCATTCTAAATGAAAGTTTTGCTGGATAGAGCAATCTTGGTTTTAGGTCTTTGGATTTCATGACTTGGAATACCTCTTTCCAGCCCCTTCTTGCCTGTAAGGTCTCTTTTGAGAAATCAGCTGACAGTCTGATGGGAACTCCTTTGTAGGTGACTGTCCCCTTAGCTCTTGCTGCTTCTAGAATTCTCTCCTTCATTTTAATCTTGGCTAATATAATGATGATGTGCCTTGGTGTGTTTCTTCTTGGGTCCAACTTCTTTGGGACTCTCTGAGCTTTCTGGATTTCCTAGAAGTCTATTTCCTTTGCCAGGTTGGGGAAATTCTCCTTTATTATTTGTTCAAATAAGTTTTCCACTGGTGGCTGTTCCTTTCCCCCTTCTGGTACCCCTATAATTTGGATGTTGGAGCGTTTAAAGATGTCCTGGAGGTTCCTAAGACTCTCCTCATTTTTTTGAATTCTTGCTTCTTGACTCTTTTCTGTTTGGCCATTATTTGCTTTCTTCTGGTCCACTCCATTGCTTTGAGTCCCAGTTTCCTTTTCATCGCTATTGGTTTCCTGTGCAATTCCATTAATTTCAATTAGTTTCGCCTTCATATGTTTCTCTAATTTGTGGCTATAATCAACCAGATCTGTGAGCATCCTGATCACCAGTGTTTTAAACTGTGCGTCTGAGAGTTTTGCTATTTTTTCATCACTTAGATTTATAGGCTCTGGGGCTTTGAGATCTTCTTGAGCCATTTTTGGTCTGTTCGCGCCCGTTAAGAATGAGGAGCAGAGCCTTGGACTCCCAGGTTGCTGGGTTGTGATGCTGTACGTGGGGGCATAGTCAGAGCGGGGAAACGGCAACCCCCTCTGCTGTTTCGCACCGCTGGGTGAGAAGCAGAGCCTTAGGCGGTTCACCAGGGCAGGGCCACTCAGGTCACTGGGTTATGACACTGTATGTGGAGGCGGGGTCAGAGCAGGGAAATGGCAGTGCCCTCTGCTGTCACTGGCGCCTGCTGGCTACCCGCCCACTCCCTTGCTGGTCTATCTGCGCACAAATGCTCGACCACAGTCAAATCTCGGCCCTGCTCCCTCGCTGGTTCCCCGCGGTCGCTCACTGGCTCACTAGGTCCACCCGTTGCAACCCTGCGCCTGGCTTCCGCGCCTGAGTCCATCTGACCGAGTTTTCCTGTGCAACCCCGCTCCGCCAGCTGCTGGTTTCGCCCCTCTTACCGGTCAGGCTGAAGAATTTGTTATCAGACTTCCGAAAAGTTCCATTTTCTGTGTTCTGGCTGTGTTTTCTGTTGCTAATATTTAGTTGACTCTAAACTTGGTTGTGTGAGAAAGCACAGCGTCTCCAGCTATGCCTCCATCTTGGCGGAAGTCCTGCTTTTTTAAATCTTAACCAATCTCATGACGGTGGCCTAATTGGCGAAGTTCATAGTGCATTCCAAAGTATAATGTAAACTATTTCTGAATTACACCCTTCTCTCTTCTTGATTTGTAATTGATTGCCAGTGAGGCCAAGATCAGGAATTCAATTCTTTTATAGTCCTTACCTTCATTATAAAGAAGT